GAGAGAGAGAGAGAGAGAGAGAGAGAGAGAGAGAGAGAGAGAGATTGTAATACATTTTTACCATATGTGTAAATCCCTGCCGACCCCTACAGGTCTGATAATCGACGCGTTTGGCGAACTCCGCGATCAACTGCAGTCCGTATCGGACGACATGGAGAGCAACTGTTTCATCTGCGGTATCGGCAAAGACTACTTCGACAAAGTGCCGCACGGGTTCGACACGCATGTGGCCAAAGAGCACAATCTGGCCAATTATATGTTTTTCTTCATGCATTTGATTAACAAACCGGACACCGATTACACGGGGCAGGAGACCTACGTGTGGGAGTTTTACCAGAAACGCACCTGGGACTTTTTCCCCGTCGGCGAGTGTTTCAGGAAACAGTACGAGGACGAGTTGGGCGGACAGACCTAGTTCACCGACACTCCCTCACCCTTCCCCCGCCCACCCGTACCTTCAGAAGCAGTTTACCACTCGCGATGAGTGTCATATCATTTCATGTATAGTGCGGTCACTCTATGGTCAGTGGTGGTGTCTATGGGTGGGCCCCAACACCCGGTGTTTACCCTCTATATAATAGAGTGCTGTTTATTTCCCTGTCGATCACTTCCCGCCCCGTATTCCCCGTTAAACTAGTCTTTTCTCATTCATTATATTTTAATTATAACTTTTAATTATTCATTGATTTTGTGGACAGTATTATAAATATTATTATAATTGTTTGTTTAACTAATTGTTAGTACATTTTTTGGTGAATATTTATATGATTTAGTTTTTAAACAATAATTGTTTTTGTGTTTTGTTCAATAAAATTATATTTTCAATAATGAAGATATTGTACACACGAGTGGTTCGTTTGCTTTTGACAATTCAGTGATGATTAGAGACAATGTCTTCAGACAATCGGTTAATCCCGTAATTTTGGCCATCATTTCAATAATCTGTTTCTTAGTTTTTGTCAATTCGTTGTCAAAACTTGTCGTTTCCATTGAATCCATTGGTCTTCCTCTTCAGTATTTGTGTACACAAAACAATATTTGATCTCAAGATATGAATCAATGGATTAATTGATGGATTGAATGGCAAAACACATGCAATTGAGAGACCGATTGTCAAGTGATTTATGACAACCAATAATAACAAGATTTGAACATTTGATTCATTTATAGTTTTATTAAAAACAATTATTAAAAATTTTAAATAATTATAAAAGCAATGATTATTGAGAGTAATTGGGATTAACATTAATTAATGATTGTTTAATTGTAATCGTAATGCAATATAAGGCACGAGAACTCTAAGGCATTGGCACTTATTTAACAAATGTGTAATTTAAATATAGATTAGTTATTGAGATCATAATTAGGGATATCATTGATAGTATGCCAGGCGTGTTGTCCACCCTTACGGCACACGTGGTTTTTGGTCGGGCGCTACCGCTTTGCCCTTCATTTCATCCCTTTTCAAACTCCTGAGCCGACGACCGGCCATATTGTGAAGAGCAGTGATGTGTTCAGTGGTGTAAAGTGTGGCCAACAATGCCTTAAGAAAAGCTAACTTCTCGTCATCGCCGGCGCTCCGCATCCACGCTATCGACTCGTCCTATCATTAAATGTATTATTAATTTAAAACAATTAATCAATTGATTAAAACTCACCAGAAATTGATGAGCATTTCTGCCGCCATTCAAACGCATGCCATTGTCTTCGGTGGCCATCGACTCGACTTTGATATGGTTTGTGTCCAACTCTTTGGTCACAGCATTGAAGTCATCACTCGATTGACCGCTCATTGTATAGCAATTGACACAAAACTCAGTAATGATTTAGACCTCAATTCAACACAAACTCAAAGCTTTTGCGGCAATCGATAGACAAATGCTTTGAAAGTTTGTTTGAAAGGAAACGGATTGAGAGGTATTAGTGTTAGTGCCGTTCACCACATGTGCCAACGCCTACCTCTGGTGTCCACTACTGTTACTATCAATATAATTATTATTGCATTAAAAGTTTAATTTAGTTTTAATTAATTTGTTGACAGTATTTATTATTGATCATGTAATAAAAATAGTCATAATTGGGTATTACATTGAGTGCAGTCTATTTTCCTGTCGGTCACTTACTAATCCGTATTCCCCATTAAACTAGTCTTTTCTCATTCATTATATTTTAATTATAACTTTAATTGTTCATTGATTTTGTGGATAGTATTGCTGTATATTTTTATAATTATTTCTTTAACTAATTTTTAGTACATTTTTTGGTGAATATTTATATGATTTAGTTTTTAAACAATAATTGTTTTGTTTTCAATAAAATTATATTTTTTATTTTGAGATACAATTGTGTATTAAAACAATTAATTACTAATTAATAATTAGTTAATTACAACCAATTATGTAACTATTTGTTAAATACAATTTGTTATATTAATTAGCAGAACATTAAATTGTTAAATACTAACTGTCCTTGATATATTATTTATATGCTTGAATGAATTATATTTACAAAAGTTACCTGACAATAATATTGATACCATGGTAAGCTTAATGATATTAGTTTGTTCCCACAAGGTCATGGTGCACGCGCCAGACATGTGAAGTAGTGGTAAATGATAACAAGTTAAATTTCATAAAAAATATTTTAATCAATTACAATAAATTATCTTTAACGAATGTAAAACGTTTATTACACTCGTGGTTAATATTCCGTACATTATGGGTAAATATTTGTTCACTCACTTCATTATAAATTTATCAATATTACATAAAAATTATGTAATATATTTTTTAATTTTATTTTTCTCTGTCATCTCATTGAGAGTTATGTGACAAATAACTACATAAAACTGTATAATAACTGAATATTAATTTTATTGTCAATTCATATCGGTATTAATTTACATTAGAATGAGTGGTAAAACTTGTGACCAAAACTTTTGGGTAATTTTTTTAATTAAGAATATATCAGTAGAAAATTGTGGCAAATTTTGTTTTTTTCCCAGAATTTAAAGGGTATTACCGAAGAGACTGTACTCGTATGGATGCCATCACTTATATTATTTGTCACATCACTGTATGAATGGCACAATCGGTCGCCAGAAGTGATCACATCCAGGGGTTCATCACATCCCACGACATGGACTCTACTCTCCATCACTAAAATTGTAATTATTTTTTGTTTGTTTTAATTTAAAATATTTATTAATTAAATTGTTTTAGTGTTTATCAGGAGTGCTATTAATGTTGTGCTTTTCCCAACTCTTGAGTGCAATCAACGATAATTCAACACATTTAGTGGAAATCGTTTCATATTTAATAATGACATTAACTTTTGTAAGTATTTATTAAATTTTTTTGATTCAAAATTTTTAATAATTTTAATTCATTTAAAAGATTTATACAATAGTTTTGATAATTAATCACAAAAAGCGAGTAATGAATAATTCCAGCGTTTTATTCACATTCTGGTTGTGTTTGTCTATCGGAACCGCATTTAACATAATGACTATATTTTACATTTCATTTAATGAAGTATTAATTTTTTGCTATTTTTAAATACGTTAATTTACTAATTGTTATTAAATTAGACAATCATAGACTCCAATAGAATTTATAAAACAAAATTACTTTCATTCCCAATAATTATCACTCAATTATTGCTCTCATGTTTTACGGACTCAACACAAGTCTTCGTAAACACAGATAAAAAAGTAATCATAAAATATTTAATAATTAAAATTTTTTAATTATTTTTAAACGATTTAAATTTACAACTAAATTACTTTTTTTTTTGATAATTAATATTAGCCAAAGTGTCCTAAAATCGGTGCTTCATTCATATCTCGGCTAACATTTTCATGGTTTACACCAATGATTATGAATGGCTATTGGAAACCATTGACCACTGAAGACATGTGGTCGCTCTCCACACAGAATCAGACCAAACACTGTGTCCAACAATTTAACAAATACTGTACACCTGTTACGGACCCGAAAGACCAAAATCGATCGTTAAATATATTTCCGGCAATTTTACGCACATTTTGGCCGACATTACTGTACAACGCGTGCCTCAAACTGGCGGCGAGTCTACTTGCCTTCACTCAACCCCTAATACTCGGGCGACTCATCGCATTCATGACACCCGTGTCAGCTACCGGTGCAGTCACCGCCGCTCCCGAATGGTTGGGCTATACGTACGCCCTATTGATGTTTGTGTCGCCGACTGTGGCGTCAATACTGGACGGCCACTACGAGTACGGCAAAAGTGTGGTTATTATGCGGATCAAGTCATGCGTTTTGGCCAAACTATACGAAAAGGTAAGTTAATCGCTAAAAATTTACTCCAATTATCATTACTAATGAACATTAAATAATACCATTTCCCGTCCGGTTAGTCCCTACGGCTGTCCAGCGCCGGGCGTAAAGAGTTCACCGCCGGCGATGTCGTCAACCTATTATCGCGAGACATGTCTTACTTGTCGTGTGTATTCGTCTTCGGCAACAATCTATGGCTGAGTCCCTTACAGATGGGGCTCTGTATCTACTTATTATGGGCACAGTTGGGTGCGGCGGCCACACTGGCCAGCGTGGGCTTTATGATACTGTACACACCGGTGTCGTCACTACTGGTGGCCCGCGAACAGCGCTTCTGGGATCGGCTGTTTCGAGGAAAGGGTGGCCGCGTGTCTGTCATCACCGAAATGTTGAACCATATGAAAGTGTTGAAACTGTACGGCTGGTGCGGCGCCTTCAGGGACCGTGTGGTTGGACTCCGGGACAAGGAAATAGCCATTTTAAGGGCTCTAGTATTTAACGTTACCTTGATAACTGTGTCAATGGGCTCAATGACCTTTCTGGTTAGTGATGTGACTACATTGTTAAAAATATAACTTTAATATAATCGTCTTGTTTGTTTGTTTTAATAATGAAGGTTAGTTTATGCAGTTTTACCGTATTTACGCTGATATCTGAGCAGAATATTCTGGACCCCAATAAAGCGTTTGTCTCCCTATCGTTGTTCAATATAATGAGTTTAGTATACATTGTTTAATAATACAAATTATTTTTTAATTAAATTTATATTATAAATAGAGGGTCCGATAACTATGATTCCACCATTAATTACTTCATTTACGATGGTAAGTTACTAATGTTATTAAATTATGTATGAGCTAACAAAAGTATCTAAAGTAACTAACTTTTATAAGTATCTTAATTAATATAACTTTATATATTGACTTACAAACGTAAATTCAGTGCAGACTATCTGTGAAGCGAATGAATGCCTATTTAAACGCTAATGAAGTGAATGAGAGTTTCGTTGACCACAAACACAATCAAAGGACTCCTATTGTCGTCACAAACGGTTCATTCAAATGGGATAACAATTGCAACGATTCTGTGCTCAAGAATATCAACATTACTATTGATAGTAAATCATTGGTGGCAGTTGTGGGTCGTGTGGGCGCCGGCAAGTCGTCCCTATTATCGGCTTTATTGGGAGATATGGAGAAAAGTGAGGGCTCTGTGAATGTGAGCGGACGGACAGCTTATTGTCCACAACAGGCGTGGATTCAAAACACAACTCTTCGACAGAATATTCTGTTTAATAGTGAATATAATCCGGAATTCTATAACAAAGTTCTGGATTCGTGTGCTTTGAGACCCGATTTAGCAGTTCTTTCGGCCGAAGATATGACAGAAATCGGCGTAAAAGGGATTAATTTGTCCGGCGGTCAGAAACAGAGGGTTTCACTCGCGAGGGCTGTCTATTCCTCGGCAGACATATATCTATTGGACGATCCGTTGAGTGCTGTCGACCCACACGTCGGACGACATCTATTTGACCAAACAATTGGTCCGAAAGGACTTCTTCGCCACAAAACACGTGTTTTAGTGACAAATAAGGCGTCAGTTTTGCCAGAAGTGGACAAAATAATTGTCTTAAAAGAGGGATCCGTTTGTGATTTCGGATCATTTGATGAACTGATGGCCAAAAGTGGAGAATTCGCTGAATTTGTTGCCGAATATGTCGTTAAACAGGAATCCGAAGACATCGATGAGAAAGAGATGCAAATTCTGGCAAAACTAAAACAAACAGTGAAACCATTGATTGAAAAACAATTATCCGTCAGATCTAATGACAGCGAAGACAGTGATGTTAAGCCGAAGAATCTGTCAAAGGGTGTGTCCACGAGTGACACAAATAAAAGCACAAAACCTATTGATTACACTGAAGAGGAAGTGTCCGATAAAAGTAAAGGCAAACTCATAGACAAAGAAGTGTCGGCCAAAGGAGGCATCAAAATGAGTGTCTATAAGAAATACGTGCAAATGATTGGTCCAATTAGTTTGGTGTTCATTATTCTCACATTCAAACGCCAGTTATAGCCCTCGCGCCGCAGCCCAGATACCGACTCGCTCACCAGTTTGCTGCGCGAGCTGAGCTCATATGGATTGCTGTGCCGAGATGCCCTAGCCGCCGACACCCAGATGCGCCGGTTCGGTGGGGCCGAAGTGGTGGCCCTCGTTATCGCCTACATTTGGCTACGGCTGCGGTGTGTGAGAGCCGGTCAAGTGCTGCACAACCAGATGATAGCGCGTGTGGTTCGGGCGCCCATGTCTTACTTCGGTCAGTAAATAGTGATTGTTATTCATAGATAGTTAGTAGTTATGATACTATTCCTCCACAACAGACACGACACCAATGGGACGGATACTCAACCGATTCTCGCAAGAAATGGATGCCATTGACGACGATATTGTCTTTATGTTGGGCAGAATATTACGCAACTTCTTTGCAATGATAGCAGCACTGGCCGTCATATCATATGAGACACCATTAGTACTGCTGGCCATCGGACCCATTATTATAGTGTATATCATATGCCAACGTATTTACATCTCGAGCTCCCGACAAATCAAACGCATTGAATCCGAGACCCGATCGCCGATTATAAGTCATTTGAGTGAATCATTCAACGGAACGGCAAGTATTAGGGCGTTCGGCGCCGACCACTGGTTTGTCCGGCAGTCGTACCGACGGATAGACGCTAACAATCAATGTTATTATTTGAGTTCTTGTGCTGAGAGGTGGCTATCGATGAGACTCGTCAAGAACCCAAGTAACTATCACAAACACAGCCGGTAACGCCGGCATCAGAAGTCCCTGGTCTATAGCGGGCCAAACCGGCGTGAGCGGTAGTTAATGAGCAACCTATATTGATACTAAAATCCTTGATTCATAAATTCTCTTAATTATATCGAAACTTCTATGATATCTATTGAAAAGTGTCTCGAATTAACACAAATTCCTGAAGAAGTAATTATAATTGAATTAAGTTGTGATAAAATACTTATATTAATGTCTTTTTGTGTCCATCTTTGAAGGCCGAGTGGTATAACGAGAAGACTAAACCCGCGGACAACTGGCCGACAATGGGTTGCATTTCATTCACAGACTATTGCACTAAATATAGAGAAGGTTTGGATTTAGTGCTCAAAGATATAGCAATTGATATGAAAGGCCGACAAAGGGTTGCGATCGTCGGCCGCACCGGCGCTGGAAAGTCGTCCCTCGCGTTGGCTCTCTTCAGACTCATTGAGCCGAAAGTTCTTGGGTTCATTGATAGTGTTTGTGTCGGCCATTGCGGCCGTAGTCTTCAGGGACCAGATATCGCCCGGTTTGGCCGCACTCGCCATCAATTACTCGTTGGATATAACTATGATTTTAGGAACTTTCATAAATTCTGTTAATTACATCGAAACTTCTATGATATCTATTGAAAAGTGTATGGAATTAACACAAATTCCTGAAGAAGTAATTATTTTAATTGAATTAAGTTGTGATACAATACTTATATTAATGTTTTTTTTTTCTGTCCATCTTTGAAGGCCGAGTGGTATAATGAGAAGACTAAACCCGCGGCCGATTGGCCGACAATGGGTTGCATTCAGTTCACAGACTATTGCACTAAATATAGATTTGGTTTGGATTTAGTGCTCAAAGATATAGCAATTGATATGAAAGGCAGACAAAGGGTTGCGATCGTCGGCCGCACCGGCGCTGGAAAGTCGTCCCTCGCGTTGGCTCTCTTCAGACTCATTGAGCCGACGGCCGGAACCGTTACCATCGATGGCGTCGACTGCTCTACCATTGGTTTGCAGGACTTGAGATCGAGGCTAACAATTATACCTCAAGATCCGGCGCTTTTC